ACTGAACATGTCTCTCCATTATCATCCTATGATGGGGTATGTTCCATCTTCAAAAATCTTCTTTTTCTACAATTAGACGTCTTTCCTTCCTAAAGACAATTCCAACATCGATGCACTATTGAGTCAAAGTACTAAGCCAAAGATTGGGGCACATTAGCACTTTTTTAGGCTTGGATTAACACCCAATCAGTGTAAAAATTAAAAGATTTTAAGCCAGATCAAATTGAAAATTTACAGGCAACGACTGAGGTGAAGCACAGGGACAGAATAGCGTCTCCAACAAAACAGAAAACAATCGTAACAAACCGTATGCCAGATATCCATCGTAATTGCTTGTTTTTTACATGCTTCTACTTACATAATTTAATACTAAGTGTGGGAAACAAGTCTTGAAAAGGGAAAAAAAAAAGGATTCTCTGTTGTTCACAGAGACGCAAAATGGTCATAGATGCAAAACCCAAACCCCCTCTTTCTTCAACGTTATATTGATAGTATAGGTTGGAAAAAAGGAATAATCAAATACATCTTGGTACCAACATAATTTACTCTACAACGGAACGCTGCTTGATTAAATATGAGAAAATCAAATACATCAAGGACAGCCATATTAGGCATCTCCAAGCCATTGGCTTATTGTCCGAAACAGAGGCTGTATCTGCTGTGGCATTGCTCTTGCAAACTGTTGCCACTGTGGACTTTTGACTCCGTCACGCAAAAGGACTCCTCATTTTGAGATGCAGTTAGAATCTTATCTCCATGGCAGGACGCCCACGGAGGAGAGGGAGATTGCCACCACAACATCTGGGTAACAGCCTTAAATTCTGGCTCGCGGCCTTCACTACCAGGGTCGGACTCCCCCCAATTGATTACCAAGGTGACATCCACCTGATGGAACAACAAAACAAATGAGAAGGCACTGATGTGATGTAATTGCCATTTAGTGATCCAAAAATTTCAGTGCCTGATGTTTTTTACCAGGAAAGTAGCAGTTAGTAGCAGAACATAAATGTAAGATATCGCAGAAGGAAATGAGTGATGCTAGTACATTGATACATAATTATTTGTTCATACTTGCGAGTATACAAGACCATTTCTAAAGTCAGAATGATCAGTATTATTATATGATATAATACTTTGCTGAAAGTTTGTGTATGGTGCTAAATAATTTTTACCAATATGAATCTAGAACCAAGAAGCATAATTATATTTCAAGAAAAATATTTACCCAGCATAGTTATTATGCATGCGGAGCAAAAATTTCCAGCGTTCTTGTTCCTGGGACTTATCCTCTCCAGCACAGGGTACATCCTGCAATAGTTATTTTTATTCATCAAGTTTATACCAAATAATGTTGTCCTGTGAATTACTTTCATCAGACAAAATAGTATTCCTTAAGGCAAAAGAGAATGGGGTTAGGGTACCGAAGAACTTGTGCATGGTATTTGCAAACCTCGTCTGGCTAACGACTTGGTCTCTCGAACCTCAGCAAACAATTAAAATCAGTATCTATGTTCCTGTTTACTTCATGGGTTTCCAGAATTTCAACAGCGTGCTTCCTTGCTCATGATTGAGTCAATGGCCCTGTCGGCCTGTTCTAATAATTCGCATGAAGTTGATTAGTCTTTACCCAAATGATTCCTCAACACGATTGTACCCCCCAAATCTCCAAACTGCAAAAAAACATCATGATAGCATGTCATTGAGAAGGCCAGTATCGAGGCCTTTGGTTTTTCAAGCTTATCCCACAGAATTATTCATTACTTTTCAACAATACTAATGACTAGAAATGGCCAAATATGAACACATTACCACTTCACGGCCAAGGCTCAATTGCACGTCCAGGTAACCCAAAGGGATAAATCCCAAGTCTCCTGTTACCTGTTACAAGGCTTGGAGGATTACCACACATTCAGCAAACACTAAGTCTACTCCTTTTTTTCCAAATACCACACTTTTCAGATTGGAGTTCTAAGTTCCTTTTTCTTTTCTTGGCTGGTTGGGGTTTCATGGTAGCCCGACATACCTATCTTCTTGCACGATGCGTGGTTAAGAATTGCTTTACGCGCAAATCGGTTGCCACTCCAGAAACATTCGGCAGTTTTTGGCTCAATATCTCTCTTTCTTTTGCTGAATACCATTTCGATTGCAATAATATTCGTTTTAAAATCTATAGGAAAGCATTGAAATGATTTTCAGGCCATTCTATGCCTGGGCTTCCGGGCCAAAAAATCCAAAGGTGCCTTTTATCTAAGAAGCCTGTTTGAAGTCCTATTGCAGAGCCGATATCGTCTGATTGCCTGATGGGCCAGCTCTATTGTGTCTTCTAGGCAATAGTTTAGGGTCTCGTTTGGTAAGCTCCCGCATGCCCTATGTCCACTTACTCGATGTGTCGTTAGAATTGCCTACTCAAATAAATTCATGCGCAAAATTTGTGCCACTTCCGGAAGCATTCGAAAGTTTTTGGCACGAATTTTGCCCATGGAATTTATTATTGCGTATGCAATTCTCAATGACCACATCAAAGCCAAGGTTGAGATTTGCATTGTCGGGGCTGACATGAATCCCAAAACTTATCGCCTAATAAGACCTTGTACGAGCTGCCCGGCAGACGTACAAAAGAATCAGCTCTAGAATTATCGCCTTCAAATAGGACTTCTTAGACCAAAAGGTATACCTTAGGATTTTTAGGTCCGAAAGCTCTACGTGGAATGGGCCGAGCTTGATTTCAATGCTTCATTATAGGTCTATAGATGAAATATTGTGGTCTCAAAATGGCATGGGAAGAAACCAGAAAAAGAGATGTTTGGGCAAAAACTGTCGAAATGCTCCGAAGTGGAATGAATATTGCGAGTTGGAATTTCTTTACCTATGCCAATTCTACATGATGCATCGAGCAAGCGAAATAGGTATGTCGGGTTGAAACAAGACCATAAACTATCGCCAGCGAAGATTTTTACAAGATACTTGTCAGACGTACAGAGATATTCAGCTCCGTAACATACCCTCAAAATAGGACTTCTCAGAACAAAAGAGGTAAACTTTGGTTTGGGTCCTGAAGCAGCCGGCAAGTAATGGCCCCGAGTTGATTTCAATGGATTCCTATAGTCAATAGGCAAAATATTGTGGTCTCAAAAATAACATGCAAAGCATACAAACGAGAAATATTGTTGCCAAAAAATGCAGAATACTTCGAGAGTGGATGGATTTGCGCATGAATTTATATTACATATGGGGCAATTCTTAATTGAAGCATCGAGGCAAGCGAAATAGGTATGTGGGCTAACCCACGAGACCCCAAACTATCACCTACAACACTCTTATATGAGCTTGCCCGAAACATATAGAAGATATCAGCTACGAAATCTGCCTTCATACAAAGCCTTCTTAGATTGAAGGGGTATACCTTTACATTGAAGGCTCCAGCATAAAATGGCCCCAGCTTGATTTAAATGCCTTCCTACAGGTCAATAGATGAAAATATTATGGTCTAAAAATGGCGTTGCAAAATTTGACAAACGGGGGAGATATTAGGCAAATTCGATGCTTTTGAGTGGCATGAATTCCACATGATTTAACATTGGTGTATGCAATTCTTAATAACTCATCGGAGCAGGTGAGATATGCATGTCTGGTGGACCACAAGGACCCCAAGCTATACCTTAAAAGACCCTTATAACGAACTGTCCCACCAAAAACGTACATGGCTTCTTTAGGGGACCAAAGGAGTATACATTCGGATTTTTCGGTCCAAATGCTCCAACATGGAATGAACTAACCATTGATGTCAATTCTTCCTTACACGTTAATAAACGAAATATTGTAGTCTTCCAAAATGGTGTATCAAGGCAACATACTAAGAGTATATTTGAATCAAAATTATTGGATGTTTCCAAAGAGGACACATTTTTGCGAATAAATTTTATATAGTGTATGCAATTTTAATGACGCATCGAAAACAAGAATAGGCATATTCGATTACCACAAAATTCTACATCGCCAGAAAAACGCTATATAAATTGGTCTTGTAAGACGTACGGACGATAACGAACTTAGAAACAGGACCTTCACGTGGGATTTATGAGTCAAAGCTATTTTTTTTACTAATAGATATTTTATTATTTTTTAAGTGGATAAATTAAAATTTCTAGATAAAAGTTAGAAAAGATGTTTCAACCCATTATTCATTGAGAAAGGTTTGAATGGATATTCCGTTGACCTCCCTTCCAATAGAATTTTTCATAAGCTGGATGTAGGTTGACTTACAATGACTGGGCCTACCATTATAGAAAACAGTTATATTGCTAAATTTGACAATTTGGTATTTATTATTACACATCACAAAGAAAACAAAAGCAAGGATGCCCTCACAAAGAAAATAAACCATTAATAAGGCAAAACTTTACCAAAGCGTCCGGTCCATAAGGGCGGAAAGAAGGATAATCATCGCCTCCTTTTTGCAGACATTGTTTCGCCACACTGTTGGCGTAGACTTCAGTCAACATCGCCTTTTTATCCAATCTGATAGATATCATGTCCCACTCGAGTAGATATGGAGGGACATGTGATTATTATTAATAAAAAGCACACACCATTATTGTTTTACGTTTAGGTAGGGAAGCTTAACGACGGGAAAGCTTCTCACTTGGCGTGGTGGAATCTGCTCTTCTCCTCTCGGAGCTTTCAAGCCTGTGTACAGGTAGTGCCACCCAGCCGAGACCCCCTAATATAGGTGCCACCAAGTATATCCATTTGCTTTGCTAATTTCCCGCAGCTACAGCTGGGCCTAGAGTTCTCACAGGATTCATTGTGAAGCGCCGCTTGATGGCTCCTGCCATACATAAGCCTGTACAATTAATACCAGGATTTTGTTAAATTTTTTTTTTTTTTTCTCACGACCCTTGCAGTTAATAATGTTTTCTTTTTACAACCTTTTGGACGATGACACTTTCGCATTCCGGAAACTTTTCATGTCGCGTAAAGGTAAACGTGGTGTTCTATAGAATGTAATTAAGAGAAATTCGAAACTTGAACTTCGTTCGTGTGAAGATAATATTTTGTCTCAGAACCAAATTGAAATCAAATTAACATAAAAATCTTAAATGTGTTATATTATGTTTTTTTATTAAATAATTTTTTTATATACCTTAACACTTTATTTATCATAATATGTTCATAAATTGATCTGTAATATTTGAATAACATAAAATTGAAAATTATTTTTGAATTAAAATTACTCTCTTCCAAACCGGAATGACTTAAAATCGAGATCTATTCAATTACCATTAAATTATAAAGGTTACAATGCATGAAGATGGATTTATAAAAAAAAAAAAAAAAAAAAAGGTAAGAAGTTTTCTGAAAGAATTCTGGGATTCATTTGTATATTCACTTTAAATTAATCACGAGTGTGTTTATTTAAATGTGAAAGAGAAAACAACTATTTTTTCTGCACTGCGAATTGCAGTGATAATTTATCATCCTTTCAATAAGTAGCTGCTAAAAAAAAAATGAGGAAAAGGGAATATAATCAACAAAAAGGAAAAGAAGGACAGGGAACGAGTAATTATATCACACCCGCAACAAGAATTGTTTAGCGCAACAGTTGCTCCAACTGCAATTCCTGCCAACTCTCCCACCTGAGAATGAGAGAAAGGAACATGAATATTTTTGTAGGCCATTTGGATTCAAGAATCTCAAGTCTCATACAGTTAAAAGGACTTATTAAAGTTTACAAAAACGTACAGCACGGGTATCAGTGGCGACGGCCTCGGGTGACGGGACAACAAGATTTGAAAGTGATGAGAAAATCGAGAGCCAAAGCTTGGCCAGTGCTGAACGGACGGAATTAGTAAACACCACCAGACATGAAAGGGTGGAAAACTCCTTTTAGAGCGAAGAAGCACATATGGAGGCGTACTTAGCAGCTTGTAGGCCAGGCACTTTGCACCCAGGAAAGTGACGGGAGAGCTGCAAAGGCAATGGTCGAGGGCTGGGTTTTAAGTTGAGCTTCCCGTATATGTCCGGTAGATAGAATTAAACTATCATCACTGCTAGCCCTGAACATGCTGCGTTCCCTATCAATGTCCTCCACTCCACTGTACTTTTGGTTCACTATGGGTCCTGCTGTTGCCGCAAATATCAGGATGAAGTTCCCCACAAATTCTGCTCCAAGTTTTCGATCAACCAATCGGTTCCACCACAATAAATAATATCAATCTCAAAGTTAATATCCATAACTATGCAGCCATTTGTTTAAAATTATATATATATATATATTATATTTATATATATATTGCAGCCATATGAGTTTCAGAGACGAGTTATAGGGGCCATATTCTTTTCTCTTCTTTTTTTTTAGAATTTTTTTTTTTATTTTATAAATTACCGTATATTCCCATAATGCAAAAATTTTGTTAAGCATTATGGTGGGGCTCGTGCATCGTTTCATTTGTGTTATTTTGTTTTCATTTGAAAAGTAAAAATTTTATTTTTATTTTCCTTAACTAAATTTTCAACGTTCTCAATAGTGATGCATTGTGAATTTTCTCATACGACTCTTGTATTAAAAAAAAAAAAAAAATCATCCTGAACAAATTAAAATGAATTTTCTCATCAATCTAAATTACAAATTTACGAGACCTATTATATATATTTATTTACAAATTTCACACCTCCTAATTAACATAATGTTCCTTAAAAAGGAAAAAAGCAGAAATATTTATTATCTTTTATCCAGTTGAGTACTGACAAAATGTGAACCGCCCAAACCCTCAGGCCTTGTAATGAACATTATTTTGCAGTTCGAAAAGTAAAAATCATAATCAAATAGGAGTAGTGAGATGATAACGTGAAACTTTATATAAATAAATATATAGTTGGTTGTTGGGCTCTAAAAATAATTAATTTCGATTTTGCGCATGCAATTCCAAATGCTCTTTTATTTTACTTTTTCATCAATTACATTACAACTCAAGGCGAATCAATTGCATTGAGTTGTCTAAAAAATTATTTTATAAGAATTGTAAACTAAAGTATTAGCTAAAAATAATAAATTACCAAAATGTACCAAAATTCATTTTAAAACTTTAATTTTAACTTAGTGAATAATGAAAAAAAAAAATATTGATTCCTCCCTAAAATCAATTTTATAAATGTAATAATTGAAATTAAATTTTGTTTATAAAATTTTTATTTCAACTTATGCATATCAAACATTAAACAAAAGTCATTGGAAAATTCAAGGTCCATTATCCATCGTATGTTAATTAAGGAAGGAAGAGGAGAATTACCTTGCGAGTAAGAGAGACATTCTGGTGCAGGGAAGTCCGTGAAGCACCGATGTGAGTTTTGACCCAGGAATGGGGCATTTAACCGGCCAAAGGCACTTGCATTCTTGGCATATGACTTCCGATCATAGGAAGTGAATCCACCTTCAGCGACGAAAACAGTGCCCTCCGGCGTTCCCTGGCGTAGCCGGGGCTGACACGGTCGGTTGTCCCTGGGCCTCGGATTCGGGCATTCTTTTTTCCCCTCCTTTAAAGCAAAAGAATCTCCTCTTCGGATACTTCAGTATATAATCTTTAATCAAATAGGAAACAGGCAGGCAATTTTTTTTTTTCTTTTTTTTTTTTTTTCTAGACATAGATGTTTTGCTAGTTGTGGGAGGATATATTACATGATTTGATCAATATACGACCTTGTTCTTCCTTCAGTTCCCAAACGCTAACGAGTTAGTAGAATTCTTTTAAGGATCATTTCGAATTACTGCGGTGAATTTTTTTTTTTTTTTTTGGGAGATTTGGCTTTTTTTTTTTTTTTTTTTTTTTTGGGAGATTTTGGCTACTGAGAAGTAAAAAAAGAGTTACATGCTTCCTAGGCTTTTATAAATGTGACTCTACGTAAGAGAAAAAAAGAAGCAAGCCAGACTATACACTAGAGGAAAAAGACCAAGGATCTAATTATTTGCATAGACAAAATCGATTTTTTTTTTTTTTTTTCAAATGGAACTTTGTAGGGCAGATGCGAATGGGAAAACTTACATAATTGGAAAGTTTTTATAATATTTGGATTAAGGAACACCGATAATGGAGTACTGATCCAGCTTCAGGAAAAAATTCAATATACTATCGGAAAGCAGATTCAAGCATTTGGATGAGTTTTTGGAAATGAAAGTTGAGTCCGGAGGTGAGGAAGGAGGAGGAGAAGAGAAGAAGAGGAACGCGAGTGAACAACGAGATAGAATTGTGTTGTGGGAGTAGAATAACTGAAATGCTAGCAAGTAAGCGTGGAGGTACGCGTAAAACCATTAATGCATCATCGTTTATATACACAAAACGAGGCTCCGGACTTTGATTATAATATCGTGTCATCTTCTGAGGAAAAGTCAATGCACGTCTCATCACCCTAACAGTAACAGTTTTTACTTCAGCTATACCTTATGTTAGAGTTACTTTGTACCTGCTCAGTTGAGCTCCTCACAGACACCGAATATGCCGTTCGATCTTACTATGTGCACATGATCGATCGCCTAAGGTAGGAGCCACGCCTGTCAACGCGAAAGCTAGTATATGCTCTGTCACCCCATCGTTTTCATCTATTAAACAAGTAGTTAATTCCCCACCATCAGCCCAATCACGTATTAAACAAAGTATTCTCCTCCTCAATAATGAATGAAAGTAATACGAAATATGAAAGAAAACCATTATTTAAATGAACTTTACGAACGCATATCTTCCTTCCATGTTCAAACACTCCCTTTTACTTTAATCTCAACCATCCATTTTTTTTTTTTTTAAGGCTTTGCCGGTTCTTTTCGTGTCCCACTGTCTATTGCCTCGTTGTGTACTACCTCTTTATAATTTAGAATTTATTTAAGGCCCACTTGTAGAATCTCTCCTTTCAGCACTTCCCAGCCATCTTTGATTGGATGTTATTAGTCGGTACAGCCTTTTCTGTTTCTTTTCTTTTCTTATTTTTTTGTTGATTGCTAACCATGGAGCTGAAAATATTTTGTACATCATCGAAACATGAATCAGTATTATGGTATACTATCCATTTTAATGTCACTTGTTTGGCTTTGTCGTTATGCTATTAGAATTCAATTTAGAGTCTACTTTCTGCGTGTCTCTACTTTTTTTGAAGTTGTTCATATATATTGTTTGCGATCATCATGTCTTGACGCGCACTAGCTAGGCGTTGGCCCATACAGAAAGGAAAGAAGAACATTAACAACAATTCAACTATATTAGCAATGATTAGATGGCATCAATAATGTTACTTACAATACTATAATTTGTTCAAAACAAGATTCTGTACCATTCACAATTAATTGTTTCTTTTTATGTATTGTGTATGTACAGCTTTGTTTAACTTGGCATATATAATTTTATAGAATACTTAACCTCCAAGTTCACCGGCACGGTGGCACCTCCTCTGTTTTCTCGATTACAGTGCTTGATAACTTAGCCGCTTCAAACAAGTATATACTTTTGCGTCTAACAATAAACCATTTGGCGACAGTAGCTCAGTATGCACATTTTGGTAAAGGAGAAGTGGATGTTTCAACTTTCAATACACAGTGCTTGTGGAGAAAACATTAGTGGAAATTATTTTCAGTGCTTCAATAATGATGAATGTTGAAAGTCTACAGAAAGTCACAATCTCTCAGTTCTTTATTCATAGTTGAAATTCGATAGGTTTCTATTGGGTATGTATAATGTATATTTTGATTTTGAACGGCAACACATTAATTACAGGAAACAGACAAACTGACTTCTCCTCTCAAACGAGATGCAAGGAAGGAATCCTATATTATTTATTTTATCATTAATTAATACAAAAAGCAACTGCCCACATATAAGTCTCCACATTTTCGGCTTTCCTTTTTCCTTATTTTGAGATCGCGAATAGCAAGGTCCTAAAGTTGCTGCGCATTGAGCTTTGATGATTGCATGTGTGGTGTGGGAACCGCCTCAGTGGTCTGACCATCAAGTACTCGATTCTTTCAAACAAGCATCAATGGAATTTTATGTGGCAGAAACATTGGGACTGTGATTTGAGTGGAAGATACGCCTCATCATTCTCAATAAGAAGCTCCGTTATCTCCCACTCCTTTTTTTCACTTTGCAAGGCAATGGACATCAACTTCATATAGAAGCAATGCCCATAATCATGATTCATGAACCAATCAATACGTGCATTAAGAGACTAGAAGATTCTGCCTGCTTTCAAATGAACGAATTAATTTCACAAGTACACGGTCTTATCTTTGGCATAAATGCAAGTTCATTCCAACCACAGGCTTTACTTTTAAGATCTGGCCTCATGTAATGTACGCTCTCATTTCTTATACTTCAAATCAGTTGCTTTCGCCTCTTACATTTATCAAACACTACTAAATTCTAGTCATACTTACAATTATAAAATTTTCTTGTTTTTTTCTTGTTTTTTGAGATGATCATGATATTTTAAAATTAAACCATTACTTATTTCTCTAGAATTTTAAAGTTTGCTAGCATTTTTAATCGTCAAATTTTTATACTATAAAATACTCCCTCTAAAATCTTACTCCTCTAACTGCAACTGTAAAGTAAAAAAATTATGCCTAATTCAACAAAACCAAAGCCAAATTAACTCTGTTATTACAAATTTAGACTCTGTGATCCTGGAATTTGGTGATATGTTCAATAATCATATATAATAAACCTAATACTTTATTTGATCAAAAAAAAAAAAAAAAAAAAAAAAAAAAAAAAGAAAAGATTGCTATCAAAAACTTCAGTAGAGAGATCTAAAAAAAAAAAAAAAAAAAAAAAAAGGAAAGATTGCTATCAAAACTTCAGTAGAGAGATCTATTAATGAATCGGTATAGATCATTTGGAGTACACAGTCAGATGATTTTTAGAAGAGGTCAGTACAACATATTAACTCACAAAACATAACTATTATCAAACAATATCATCAATTAGTTAGCAAGCTCTACAATCAAAGACTATCTTTGAAGTATGATGAGACGAACACAGCCAAAGAACAGATAGATAAAGCTAATAAAGGGCCAGCAGGAGTCAATTTCCGAGTAGCTGCCAATCGTATACCTAAAATAGCATCAAATTAAAGAGAAAAAAATGAGAGAAACAGAAGCATGAAATTTGATATCAATTATTACCATTGCATATAAGAATTTTGGCCTTCCATTGATCTGTCAGTTATTTGAGTAGGGTTTTTGAATTGCATAGGCAATGGCTTATGAAAATGTCCTTGAAAAAGATGCAATCTTCTTGTGTAATTTTCTTTATGCATTTCTTTTATGCTTCCCTGTAGTTAATGCTAAACAAGACTTGAATCTACGACATGTTAAAATATCCAACTTAGTAATTGCCATAATTTAAATCTAGCTCAGAACGCTACAAATTTTTTTTTTTTTTTTTTTTTGCACTTCCTTTATTTTTGGCCTTTTCCTTAAATACTGTGCACATAAAGAACTGTCAATTACACTACAATGGTTGCGAGCATTATGTTACCCCTGCACTGAGCTGAATTTGCAATCCTGACTATGATTGCAGCCATGCTCAAAATTGAAATCTATGATCAGAAGGCATCAAGCTTGAGCAGGTATGTAAAAGCAATGTAGATTATCCGTATCATATCATGCACAAACATAGAAACAGATAAGAAAGACATACCAAACACACACGAGAAAAGGAAAGCAGATCCAAAGGCAAGGGCATCACCAACAGCTTTTGTCTCCTGTCCTTGCATCAAAATGTAAGCCTACAGCAAAAAGGCAAACATATTCATCAATATTCTGAGCTGGCCAAGAACATAATTAACAACAAGAACAAAGTTTTTTCAGATTATTTGCGTTGTTGCAAAGGTATAATGGATTTCTCCTGCATTTAGAAATCAAGATCACATACAATCATAAATTCATCCGGCAAGACTATATACTTGCACCGCCACAATTTGATGAAGAACAAGCCATGAGTAAGGAGTAGGGCTGAACACAGAAGCAGTGAAACCAGAGACGAGTGATTCCAACACAAAGTTTGCAGTTTATAATGACCAAAGGTATAGTTCCAGGTTAGAAAGTGTCGAAACTGAAACGTGGTTTTGGCCTCAGCTTCATACATGCAAATCACTGAAATAAGGCCCCCACATTCGCACAAGTTATGACGGTAGTTAACACTCATTCCAAACATATAAATTAGATTAGATAACAGCCTAATCAATGCAGTGTCTCACTCTTGTTCTCTATATCTACTTGATGGGGATCAATCACATATGTCTTTCATTTCACCAGAATTTGGTGGAGAAGGTACGAACAATTCACAATACAAGGAAAGCAAAAGATGAATCTTCACTTTAGCATTGGAAGTTTAGAAGACATTAATAAGGATGAAAAGGACAGATAAATAATTTTTTTACCCTTTCTGCCAGCTGAATTTTACCCTAAAATGCCCAATGAACACTAGCAGCCTGTTAAAATTCTGACTTCAGTCCTCAAATTTTTAACTTTGTTAATTAGAATATTGAGGTTTTCTAAACAGAACTTGAGTAACAATATGCACAATTAGAAAATAAAAGATAAAAAAAAAAATTGAAGGACCAAATTTGATGCAAATAAAAGACAGATAAATTCTTAAAACGATTGACAGTTTGAGACAACCATACTCTAATGATATCTATTTTTGATTTAATCTAATCGGTAATGAACTTACCGTAGCCATGAGTGCAGCCCCTGTCAATCCTCCAAACAGTGACCCCTTGCTTCTAGACTTGTTGACTGGCTTCAAAAAATGCAAATTTATTTGTTAATCGGTTGGACAAATGAGCATGGATGGGAAAAATAAAGATAGAATGTTATTGGGAAGAGACGATCCGAGAAAAGGAAAAGAAAATATTACAGGCAAAGATACCGCCAGAGAGGAGCAGGACTCCATACGCAGCGGAGGTTACTGGGGCGAAATCTACTGCCTGACATTTGCAACAAAAGCTTACTGTGGATTTAGAACTGAAAGCAGAACTGGATCTGCTTCCGTTCTTTAAGATAGCAACAGAGAAATAAGAAGAACTGCTAAAAGAAGTTATGACTTTCCTTCGGCCTGCACCATAATTACTCGCTATGCCAACCGGAAAATTTGTTGCAGGAATCAGCAACAAGGAACACACCATCCTCGCGAGTCGCGATATTACGAGTCGCTATTACCGGATGTGCCCGGTGGATAATAGAATTTAAATTGGGCCTCACTTGAATCATTGTGGACTCCGCATAAATTTTAAGATGGGCCATCAAGCCTTAACCGAGAGAAATCGAACCGTTGGTTGAGCATGTCGGAATAGGACGATGCATCTTATGAACTAATATTTGCATTCATTTTTTGTTTTGGGCTGTGTAGTAGTCAACTTTTAAATTATTTTTCTATGTTTGTTTAAAAAAAATTAATTTTCTATGTTTTATTTAAACATAGAATTTGTATTGAGTTTTGAACTACTAAAAAAAACTTCCATCAAATGTATTTAGCCGAATTATTTTACTAAAAAGTTAAAATAGATCATAAATGACGTGGAATATAAACATCAATTTAATTCGATTTAATTACAATTTCAATACAATCAGCATCATATCAATTCCCAGCAGGAACTCATCAAGTTCTAGAATTGCGAAAATTTGGTAAATCCTTCCCCACGGAGAATAGGAATGAGATGGAAGGAATATTCTCTCTAAATATATCCAAAATTTGGGTGGCGGAAGGCCTAAGAATTGCAGAATGGCCAAGACAAAGAGCCGATAAGGTAAGCATGGCCCTGGCTTCCTTTAAGTCAAATTCACCTTCCAATCTTGGATCCACAATTTGGGCCACCTTTATCGCTTCACAGTCGTGGGCATCCTTTAGCACAGGTCCCATAATTGATGTCAATAGCTGGCCCCTCTCCTCGCAGAAAGCCTCCATACCCGTCACGAGTTCCAAAATAATGACTCCGTAGCTATACACATCGTTCTTCTTTGTTGCTATTCCTGTCCTTAGGTACTGCGGATCAGTGTAACCAGGAGAACCCATCATCACTTGCTTGGTTCTGGAGGAATGAACTACCATTGAAGAAAATCCCATATTTGCAGACCCGAAATCACAGAGCTTGCAGTTAAGATGCTCGTCCAATAAAATGTTAGAAGCTTTGATGTCTCCATGCACTATTTGCGGGGTGTGTTTTTCATGAAGATACTCTATAGCTTGCGCAAGTTGGAAGGCTATGGCCATCCTTCTTTGCCATGAAAGAACAGGCCAAGCCCAGGATAACTTTGTGTCTCTTTCTACGCTATGGAGTTTATCCTGCAAACTTCCATTTGGGACAAACTCAAACACAAGAGCGTCTCCCTCTGAACATATTGCAATAAAATCAAATCAATTAGTTCTTCCTTCTTTTTTCAGTTTAATTTATAATAGATATTTTTTAAAATAAAAAGACGAATGGGAACAGCAACAAAAACCGCACACCTTCATCATCACAGTATCCTAAAAGCCTGACAATGTTGTCATGGCGAATTCGGAGTAGGATGTCTAATTCCTGCTTAAAGAGTCTATTGAGATGGTTGCTTCCGGCGTGTGTCTTGACGGCCCCAAGAATTGAACCGGGAAACTGAGCCAAATATACCATGCTAAACCCTCCTGATCCAATCCACCGCGAGAAATTCATGGTTAGACTTACTATATCATCCCAACTATATTTCCTTGCACCATAATCATCATCATCATTATCATCCTTTTCCTTTATATGATCACCATTAGCCACAACACCACTTACTGTAGATCTGTGCCGGAATTTAAGTCTGAAGAACTTATTGGATAGGCAGCCCATGACAAGCAGCGAATCAAGCAATAGCAAAAGCTCACTGGCCAGACAGAACGTACACTGATAAGAGCTATCTGTGGTTCGAGTGGGAATGATATTTAAACGAATCAAGGAGATTTTTTTTTTTTTTGGGGGGATTTGGTTTTTTTTTTTTTTTGGTGGGATTTGATGGGTAGTAGAACGACTAATAGTAGCTAAGGGGGATGAAAATGGTAGGTGTTGGGCTCCAGGGAAGCCGCATAGAAGGCAAGTGAGAAGACTGAAGATAAGAAATTGGAAAAAATGGGCCAATACCAGCAGACAAACAAACCAGTGGTTAGACTAGTCTCAGCCTCGCAGAACCATCCGCTTCATCACCCTGACTCTATTAGATTCGAGAGCCTGTGGCTGTGGGGGCAGTATCCGACACCGACAGCCATCGTTTCATTTGTTTCTAAATTTCTATTGATCCACTGCTATAAAGATTAACCAAATGAAAGCGCGCAGTTAGGAATCTCATTAATTTTCCACATTTAATCGTGAAGAAGAAACATGACGACCATAGATGTTGGCGTGCTAACTGCAACACGTACTTTTTATTATATAACTATTCAACAGAAAATAAAATCAAAGACCGATTCTTTACACGCCACCGAAATCAAATATAAAATTACAAGTCAAATTCCAATCGCTTTCATTAACGCGGCTTTAATAATATGATCCATCCACCGGTGAAACGTGGTTCCAAAAAAAATTCTATCTTCTTTTAAAGATTTTTAAAATTTATATATATAAATAATTTTCTGATAATTTTTATGTTTTTTTATTAAATGATTGACTTTTATTAATATCTTAATTAATTAAGAATAAAAAATAATAAAATAATTTTTATTGACTAAATTCTTAATATTTATATTTTATCAAATTATATAAACTAAATGAGACGAAAACAGTATTAAATATATATGCATATTTAACAGAAAAAAAATATTAAACCGAGTTTAAAAGTCGACTGTACTTTCTTTTTACAAGTTAAAAATGTTGGAATGGGAATAAGTTAAAAGAACATGTGCCCAAATAACAAATGAGGGAGTTGAAATAGGATCTCCCATACGTAATTATTTTGGGTATTGGCACAAATGAGAGCCGGCTTTGTCCTTTGTTTACCGCAAAAACCAAAAATTTTAAACATATCTTTAGTAATGATGAATAATTTATTTTCAATTTTTGTTTCCGTTGACTGTCATAAAAAATTATATTACAAAAAATATATATTTACTTTTGTGATTTAAACTTCTCTACCATATTGCTTGTTTCAAATTCCTGTTTAGTGGATCTAATAAATAAAACTTTAGTAATTAGATTAAATTTCGGGGACTGGTCCATGTAATTGACCCAAAAATAAAAAAGAAAGCCGGCCAAACAGTGAACGAGAAACTTTGGAATTTCAGTTGATCGTCCGGACCGGAGACAACAACAACTAATGGACAGCGGATACTGCTGCACGTTGTGTTTAATAAAAGCCCACAAAATCCGAAAATCGCAACGTCTTGGGATTTCGCTCTTTTAAAAGTTTCCATTTCAAATACAAAAATTTGAAATATATGAACTTTTAATTACACTAAAACCGGATAGTGTATAGAGGAAATTAGCAGAGCGTTTCCATTCCCTAGTTACAAGTCAAAATCGTTTTTGAAAGCAAGTTAATGCTCTGCTAGAGACTGAATTGTCTTTTTCGTTAACCTCATCACCAGAGGAAATTGTAATTGAATTAGTGAATTTTCGTTGTTCTCGCTGTTTGGATCTACTTGGTATTTACTTTGTAAAAATTTCCACCCTCAGGGCGGTCTCTCCGTCTCCCTCACGGAAATGATTATTATTCTTGCTGCTCATGATCTTTATGTTCATAATGGATTATTCCTCTCCTTCTTCCCCTGCAGAGAAGAATAAAAATTCATGCCGATCTCCCCTAGCACTTTCGCGAAACCGTAGCCGTAGATGGCGTCAAAGTCGCACGGGTACCGCCGTTGTTGTGGTGGCGGCACTGCTCGTCTCGACCACCGCCTGGCTCTCTCTCGTATTCTCCGGAACCACAGCCCGTTGCTGGCACCGGTTTAGGAATTGGGAAGGCAGCCCCCGCACACTCACCTGGAAGAAGCGACCTCCCACCACCACTGCCTCCTTTGACCACCATCTATCCATTGTGCCGCAAGTACCTCAGTTCGTCTCCCGTAATTCTTCGCTATTATCGGGCAGCAACCGCAACCTTTCGGAGGAGGAGGAGAACCGTCGAGGAAATGAACTGACACTGAAGCATATCTTGTTTGGCATAGCGGGATCCTCACAGCTATGGAAACAACGCAAGGAGTTCGTGAGGCTTTGGTGGCGACCAAACGACATGAGGGGCCACGTGTGGCTAGAAGAGCAGGTAGCTAAAGAAGACTGGGACAGTTCGTTGCCTCCTATCATGATTTCCGAGGACACCTCCCGCTTCCGCTATACTAATCCTACCGGTCACCCTTCAGGACTCCGGATCTCCCGCATTGTCTCCGAGAGTTTTCGCCTCAGATTGCCTGGTATCCGATGGTTCGTTCTGGGCGACGATGACACTATTTTTAATGCGGATAATCTCGTTGCCGTTCTCAGTAAGTATGACTCCTCCGAGATGGTATACATCGGTGCTCCTTCCGAGAGCCACTCTGCCAACACCTATTTTAGTCACTCTATGGCCTATGGAGGTGGCGGAATAGCCATAAGTTATTCGCTGGCCGAGGTTCTTTCCAACATTTTGGATGACTGCCTTGAGAGATATCACAGACTCTATGGAAGTGATGATCGGCTCCACGCCTGCATTTCTGAGCTAGGCATTCCTTTGTCCAGAGAGCAAGGCTTCCACCAGGTCCGTTTATCTGATCTATTCTTCCACTAATTTTCATCTATCTGTACCTTGTAGTACTGTTTTCCTATTCTACAGAGAATATAGTAACTATGATAGCACATCTGTTTATACAACATATTTTTGTTTTTACAATCTAAGATTGTTTTGTCTACTTTTTTTCTTTTTCTAAAACAAACAAGAAATGTAAAGGAGAAAAGAATTAGAGAATTGCTCCCTGGCATTGCTGAATTTTTAATCCCTCTGGTTGGTTCCTTCTGGCAGTGGGATATTAGAGGTAATGCGCATGGTCTTCTATCCTCACATCCGGTTGCACCTTTTGTATCCATTCATCATGTTGAAGCTGTTGATCCTCTTTATCCTGGCATGAGCTCTTTGGATAGTTTGAAACTTTTCACCAAAGCCATGACTGCTGACCCCATAAGCTTTTTGCAGCGGTCGATATGTTATGACCATGAACACCACCTTTCTTTTTCTGTTTCGGTTGGTTATGTCATTCAGGTGTTTCCAGAAATCGTGCTTCCCCGTATACTTGAGCGCTCAGAAAAGACATACTCTGCTTGGAACAAGATTAGTGATCGAAATGAATTTGATTTGGATACCAGGGATCCTCACAGATCTATTTGCAAGAGACCAATCCTATTTTTCTTGAAAGATATATCAAGACAAGGCGACATTACAGTTGGTTCATATGCACGGGCCAGAATGAAAGATGATTTGAAAAGAAAAGTTTTCTGCTTTCCGCATTCTCCTCCTCTTCCTTATGTGGAGAATATTCAAGTATTGGTGTATCCTACAACAAAGAATTGGCATTTGGTGAGTTCCTTAAATTACTTTCTAGTACGGTATATGTTTCAAGCTAATTTCTGATTTTCCTTCAATATCAGAACTCTGCTTTTCAAGCTAAATGCTGTTGCAAATATATTTGAACAGGTGCCACGCCGTCTTTGTTCTAAACTGAATCGCACAACTGATGAACTACTTACAATATCAGTTGGGCAGTGTGGGACCAGATATTCTGGCTCTTTTATTGATTCTGTTTGAATGTGGGTGGCTGTTGGCTCACTTTACTTGGCCAGTATCAGCTTGGAGATGAACATGCGCTTGAGGAAGGGCCTTTACTATCTTATGCATCACGTTCTTCAGCTTCGTTCATTCGGCTTCAAGCAACAGCTGTTTATCAACTGACATCCAGTGTTTTGAAAACCACGCTAACAAATTGCAGATATGAGAGTCCTTTACTGTACACAGTTGAGTTTAAGATAAGCTTGCAAACCTTCATCTCATGGATTACATTCTTTGCCTTCCTTTTTGTTCAGAAGGTACATAATTATAAACTGATATCTAACTTCTGGAAATGAAGTGAAAAAGAAAATTCAAGTTAGTTTACATATGAATTATGAAATGCGAATAACTCATTTCTTTTACCTCTATGTGGTTACAGTTGTTGTCTTTCTGGTGATTATTTTCTTGTAACTTCAGCTCTTTGTGAAATGCATTTGTGAAGCTAATAGACCTTAGTTGTCTCATCAACAACATAGGACTAATCCAAATATTCCATTCCTATTGTCCAATGTTACTTTTAAGAATCTATTTTTCTTTTAATCTAGGCTGTATATGTGATTTTGGAGTGGGTTGCTTATCTATTTTTTTCTATAGTGGGGAAAACCATAATTATTGATAAATATTTAGGTCAATGTTGAGGGACAAAAAAGGGTTGGAAAGGAGGAAGAGATGAGAATAATTATGCAACTAAGAAGAGAACAAAGAGACAAAGAAAGCAGATATTAAGCATGTGTGCATTAACAAAGTTTGATGGGGATGCAACTCAGTTATCCAATTTACATAAGATTCCTCTGAGATTAATATAAATAGTTACACGAGAAAATGTTTTACTTACTGCACTAGTAGTCTAATAGTTGTGAACCTAATTTTCTTTGCCCTAAACTAAATGTTTCTGCATTTCTTTAAACAATTGGTAAACTTAAATCTGCCTACATTGTAGAGAACATTCTTAATAAAATGAGTATTAAAATGCAGCAATGAGTTGCAAAGTCAAATTTGATAAACAAAGTTCTTGGATTTGGTGATCCTACTTTTGAATGGATATCAACATGTTCAATATGAAAATACATGTAACTCAGATTTGTACAACTTGCTATAAGTAGGTGCTGCTTGGTGCCATCTTTCTACAAGCAAATCAATACCAAGTGCCAGCAGATACCTCAAGCTCATGATCTCTAAAATTGAAAGATAAATGTGCCTTCATCAATTGGTCCTGACAGAGATCATTTCAAAGGAAAGGGTAATTGTTAGGACTATGATTGTGATTGGGACTCAATTTGTAATAATTGAGTGCACAACTGGGACTGCTTTGAAAATAACTGCATATGTAGCAATTACTATTATAACTGCACAGCTGATGTAATTAGTGGCATGTCTGTCATTTTGATCAAATAACCCACAACACCCACCCCCATCCCTCCCCTTTCACCCCCTTGTCTGTCATTTTTGATCAAATAAACCCACAACACCCAACCCCATCCCTCCCCTTTCACCCCCCCCCCACCCCCCAACACCCCCCCCCCCACCCCCCCAACATATAAAGCTCTAGCTATATGAAATAAGAAGTGAAACATCTCTTATTGCTGCTGAAAGAATGGAGACTTCGGTTTCATCAATGGCCACATTATATTTAATCTCCATCTCCACAGTGTCTTGAGGTCGTGCACCGTAGTGATTCATGGAAAGACAGAAAGTGGAGAACAGTAATTGTTGACAGCAAATGTGCATTCTATAATACTCTAATCCCTCATCTTTCTCATGCTTTTTAGTAGCTGTTACTGAAGGACGGAGTCCTTTTTATTTGTGGCTTGTAATTGTATGGTGAAAGTATATAGATGGGTAGGACGGTGACTGCATCAGTGTCCGGAGATACCATTGGCAATTAGGATCAGCTAATCTTCTGTTGTCCTGATCAGACGACCAATGAGACTCATTGGTTAGATTAATACTGAATTTGAAATTTGTGATCATACTTACTACCTGAATCTTGTGATTCCCTACCTCCTCTGGCGACTGAAAATATCAATTTTGATGCTAAAGATTTATAGAAAGTTCAAAGAGCTGCTCAGCTGTTGGCGCAACCTTTCATGCCGGCTTTGTTTAAAGCTGCCTGTTGTAGGTTGAAATTTGTTTAATAGCTGCCTGTTGCAAGTTTTTCAACTCATGCACTGTATATTACCCGTGTCATGAAATAAATTTTTACACTGCCTTTATTGAATCCTAATGGTTTGCCTTTGGTTTACTAGTACAATATATTGCTCAATATGGTTTACATTTCTTCTTACGCATTTATTCTTTCAGTTTGTGTTAAATCAATATGAAATACTCTTTCTTTGATAAACTTAACAAAAACAAAGATGATGGTTTCCAATGTCTTCTAAAATAAAATTGCTGTTGAAGAATAGATGTTTGTGGATAGGATAAGCATCGAGACAGATACCTCATGTTATTCCCGAACACAAAGGAAAAGGGGCTTGTATAAGCCACCTTTGAGGATTTGCAGCAAACTCTATTCTTTTGACAAGTCAACTACATGGTCAGACTATAAAGATGAGATGAGAAAAATAAAAATCATACAGACCAAATTTGTCATCGCCTCAACTTTAAAAAAAAAAAAAAAAAAAAAAAAAAAAAAACGATTTTAATGACAGTAAAAAAAAAAATCCAAAATTGAGATGCTAATAAAAAAAAAAAAAAAAAAAAAAACGTTTAATGACATGTAAAAAAAAAATCCAAAATTGAGATGCTATAACTACAGGAAGTATAACTATTAAAAATTATAAATTTCCTCAATCTAATTCCGGCTTGCTCTTACTTCTTTTCATTTTTGCCTTGAACCTCGACTTTGCCATCAGTGTCTGTACTGTATTTAAGAAGTTTCCAACTGCCATAAAAACCAAAAGGATCCCACAGAATATTACCTGTAAAAGAACAATTTCAACCACTAAACTGAGTACTTTATTCTTCAATGAACCAACAAAATGTGGATAACTTATTACCTGCCACTCAGAGACAACCCTAACAAATGCAGTTCTAAGCAACTGTAGTCCAACATACGCCTCAAAACCCTTGTAAAAAATAACACAGAAGCATATCAGGTCACCACGATTAAAACCATAACGTACTCACCCTCCACAGTCTATTGCATTCAAACAGAGAAATTTTTTTTCTAAATCAAGCTCAATTTCAAAATGATTTTGTTTAGTGTAAAATAGGTAGTCCATAGAAAAATGTACTGTTGAAAGCAAAGACAGAGCCAATCATTAGTTCCCAACCGTGGGATTCATTTCAGTTTGGTTGCAACAATAAAATCAAATGGAAAGTATTCTGTTACTTGGAAGTTGGAGCAAAAATTATTTTCTGTCAATACAGAAGACCATGATTTCTGGTGGTAGCCATACTTTTCCACTCTATTTTAGTGATTTTTGAATAGAAGAGAAAAACAAAAAGACGTAAGATTCTGGTTATAGCCAACAATACATATCGATTGATCATCCACAGTGGTCAAAGAACAAGGGTGGGTATGTAATGTTCTTTTGTGGGGTTCATTTCGCTTTTGTGAGTTTGCAGAACCCGCAAAATGAATTTCCATGTGAAGAGGAAATTTTCTTTGAAAAATGTAGTTAACCCCCCATGACTATGAAAAATGTTTTCTATTTCCCAATTTTCCTTCAAACAGAAAAGTTGAGAATATTTTACAGGGTATATTTTCCACAAAACGGGAGAACTCATAAACAAAGTATATCTAACAGTCCTGCTACCCCAACCACATATTATCATGAATACATTTTTGAAATCTCATATTTAAGAAACTGAAATGAGCCTAAAATTTTTCATTCACTATTCAGATTGTGGCAAGTCAAGGAAGTTGTTTCACCTGCAAGATGAAGAGAATAGGACACAAAAGCCACAGTTGGCCATGCACGCCAGCTGTTTCACCCCAGACAACATCCATTCTCTTGGCCTACAGAAAACAATAATTCCTCTTAGCAAAATAAAATTTAGAAAATCCATATGCAGCATATCAGACTCCCAAGCAAGCTAGGGTAATAAAGAAAAAAAAAAAAAGAAAAAAAAAAGAAGAAAAAGAAAAAGGAAATGAAGAAATCAACAGTTAAAATGGTGCATCCAATGGAGAGGGTTTAAATAGGCTTTTCAGTGGATAAAAACAATTCCAAAAATCTACCTTTCCTAAGGCAATACGTGTATAAAGTCTTTGACGTTGATATCTGTTCTGTAGAAGCATTGCAACACCTTGCATCATTGCCCATTGCAAGAAAAGTTGCACCCCTCTCTGCACATGTTTTAATTGGCTATTAATCAAATACATAGCAAACATAAAGAAAGAGTGAAAAATAGTAACCTGCTTCTGAGCACAATTTGGTTGTCCTTTAACCTCCCATGTGAGACTAACAAGGGCCATAATCATAGCACAGTAATGATGGTAAATCCACCTGCAAAAGCACATTAAGTATTTGATTGAAATATTATTATTCCAAGTGAAGAGGGTAAATACTAATAATTAACCAAACAATTCGACATGCATGTGTTTAAATATCATATTCATGCCAATCAAGCCTGATGAGATAAATTCAAGAAACTTAAAAACCAAACACTTTCACAATTGAAGGGTGCATCACATTAAGTTGGATTTCACTATAGCACCTGTTACAGTGAGAAATTCTTAATGGAAAATGTAAACAAAAGCCATTCCCATGATCAAGATACCCATTATATGACAAAATATGGCTTTCCTTCAACATTCTTTCTGCATTTCATACATATTTATGAGGAGACTCAAAATACAGAATCATGTCCTTCAGCCCAAAATCATAATTAAGTGTAACAGATTATGACAGCAATAATAATAATAATAATAATAATAATAAAAAGAACAATGTAAAAAAGTTTCTACTGTGGAAATAGAAAATGGGTTCAAATCAAAGGAGCGAGAAGGGGAAGAGGGAGTTCCTTTTTTTTTTTTTTTGGGGAATCCTTTTTTTTTTTTGTTGGGGGGGGGGGGGGGGTGAATCCCATGTTAAGCTTTGCAGATATGCCTCACAAGATCAGTGTACAATGGGGGGGGGGGAATGCCATGCTTAAGCTTTGCAGATATTGTACAAGTCATTCTCAATAGATAGTCCACTAGTCCTCAAATTTGATATGATATCTAACAGCCACTTGCTCATACAAATGGAAACCAGTAATCAGGGTTTAGGGTTCATAGTTTTAATATCAAGGTTTAGACTAGAGCTCCTAGTTTTAATCAGAAAGACAATAAACAACTCACAAGCAACACTAAATCAAGCTAAATGTTCTTAGTGGAACTGGAAGTTTGTAGTTTTGATCATCCAACAAGCAGTCTGCTTGTGTTTAATCAAAAACTTCATGTCTTGAAGGTGAGGAAAGAAAGTCTTCAACGCCGATTAGTTGTTTTCTTGTAGTTTTAATAACAAGCACATGAACTTGAAAGACTTGTAAAAGAGGTCCATTAAGACTTGAAACAATTATTCATATGGTCAAGAAGGGGCCAAGACGAAATTTTGAGCCAAGCCAGCATGCACAAAATATTTCTTCCCATTTCACCCGAACTTTGTTGACAAATAATTTTACAAATGCAGGAAAAGGTTGTGGGCAAATACCATGGACGGATATCACTTCCATTGGCTCTCAAAATATTTTCTCGCAAAGCCAAACCAGTATAGAGGAACAACAGCCATGCCTGAAAGGTGTAATTCCGAAAACGTGAACTTTTAAAATGGGATAAGTTGGAGAATTGCTAATCTGCATAATCCTCAAAAATAAATAAACATATATAAACTCAACACATTATTATAGTGATAGTGATATTTCTATAGTATCATATATATATTAATACGTTATATATATAAGAGTACCTCGGTAGAGCTTGAACTATATAAGATTACCTGGTAGAGTTGAACAGGAAATGCCGGCAAACATCCATTCCAGAGCCAAGATCTTAGGGTCAGTAGAATTGATGGAAAAAGAAGAAACAAAAGGGCGGTTCTGTCCTGTTCCAAAAAAGAAAGTACTGTAAGAGCAGGCAGCTTTGACATCAGTATGATTTGAGGTAAATAAAATACTTTTCATAATAATATAATGCGGTTGAGAAGAAACTATATGGAAGAGAGGAGGAAAGGGGTTGGAATTTAGAGGAAGGGGAGGAGAAGTAGAACACACCCTATAACTGTTGTATTCCTCTTTAACTTTCAATTGAACATCTTTGCGAGAAGCACGGACATTAATGGGTCCCAGAAACATTTTGAGGAATTTGCCTGTGAATATACGCATAAGGGAACATGCAGAGAGGGATTGAAACTCCAAAAAAGAAAATGAAGAATTAGAAGTATAAAAACCCTGGGTTTTGGTGGGAAGAAAAGCAGCTGCGTCTCCATCAAGCATCATACATCTGGCTCTTTGTAGATCTTCTTCGAGCTGCAGAAACAATTAAATCAATAAACCGTGGCAATAAAGAATTAAATTAAATTGAAACAAGAGGATCCATTTATGCAAGGCAGGCAGCTGAGAAGAAGAAGAAAGGAGGTAATGAGATCACCTTCTCAGCTAGCTTGGGATCGATGAGCTTGTGGGAGATGAGGGGGTTAAGGAGGGAATGGCAACGACGGATGGAAGACTCGAGGGAAAGAGCACGCTGGCGGAGAGACTGCTCGTCGTTGGAAGACCTGGAAATTAAAGAGGCGGCAGAATCCTGAAGCTGCTTGGCCTGCTCCACCACTCTGTCGACCTCTTCCGCTACCTTGTAGGCCGAGTCCTCGACCGTGGAATTGGTGGATTCCATCAACTTTGATCGTTTGGATCGAAATCGAATTCGATGATCGATATTGAAAGGAAGGCACCTGAAGTGGAGCAACCGCTCAGTTTCCTCTATCCCCTTGTATTTACACGCAAGCTATCAGTAACGTCTGTGCATATGTATTTACATAAATCTCAAATCTGTGCGGTTCCTTGTCTTTTCGAAAACATAACCTCTCTATCTGCGGCGGACGCACAATTTTATGTGGACTCAAGCTGAGGCATCAACCTTTCCATTTTACTTCCCTTATTATTATTTATTTATTTATGGCTTTCAGTTTCATTTTGCCCATAAAGGAAATAAAGCACCGGAGCGGAGCCCAATCAATCGACAAAATGACCAAAGACATCAAATTATTCCCAACCACGCCTCAACGCAACGTCTTTTTTATTTATTTTTTGTTTTAACAAAATGCGCAAATTATTATTATTATTGAAATTTCATCATAATATTCATTAAAATGAGAATTTTGACAAAATTTCAATTGGCATGTGGAATTTCATAAACTCTCAAAATGAAATATTTACAATAAATGAGATATTCTTTGTTTTCACAAATCACAGGCCTGTGTCAGGTTCAGTGTTGCATTTAATTATTGACTACAGAGGTTTAAATGTTAAATTGGCAGGCCTACTAGTTTTTTAAATATAGTATTATATAATAACATTAACTATTACAAATACTCAATTAAAAAATTCATCAATTTATTATTAAAAATTGTTGCTATGTTTTATAAGGGTAATGTAATAATATTAATTCACTTAAAAAATACAACTGAATATTTTAAACTCATGAGGCTGCAAAAGATAGAGCAACCCTCTCTTCCTCTTTTCGAATATTTATAAAATATAATTTACATGCAAAATATTATTTAAGATATAACCTAATAATTATCTAACTAATGTTTGAATCTCTAAAAATACTTGGTTTCTATAATTAGGGTGGAAATAGTAGAGTGCAGAAAGAATTGGTCGATTCTCTTTTTTCTAGTTTGGTAAGCTGCAATGCAACAAAATTAAATACATGTCTGTCTCACTGACCCTTTTTTTTTTTTCAGAAATTCTTAGTAAGTTAGGTATGTAGAAATTGAAGGATAAATATATTCCTATCTGCCAATTGCTTCATTAGAGCTGCACAGTACATATAGTACTTGTGCTAATGAAAAACATTGCTGTTGCAATGGGTAATATTAAACATAGTAACAGATAAATAGTAAGATAAATATGTGGAAAAAGCATTTACCAAAATAATAATAATAATAAATAATAAGATAATCAGCAGGTAAAAACTTACCATCAGGTAACCTTCCTTACGAGATATATCAATTTGTCATTGTCACTCAGGATAAAATGAAAAAAATTATCGGTTTTAGCTTCAAGATAAGAAGTTGGGACGAACCAACCCCATCTACCTCTTCTAACCTCTACATTACCAATTTGGTAAGACTTGTGAAAGAAAATGGCTCACACTGAGTTGCTCATATTACTAACATGATGAAATAAAGCACATGACTTAGCAAACCTATTCCTTTTTCCCTTGAGAAGAAAAATTATATATACTCTGATAGGAGTTGCACAAAATCAACAGTCCAGAAAAAAAAAGAAAAAAAAAAAAAAAAAAAAAAAAAAGAACCATTACCCCATCTTAACCTCTTTCTAAAACCTGTCCTAACAGGGGAGACACAATTTCCGCCGTTGTTAAGCCAAACTTGTGGAAAGAAAAATGAAGCCCTCACACTGAGTTTTGCTCATATTACTAACATGAATGACAATAATAAGCATCATGACTTAGGCAAGACCTATCCTTTTTCCCCTTGAGAAGAAAATTTATATATACTTCTGATAGGATAGTTGCACAACATCAACAGTCCAGAAAAGAAAAAAAAAAAAAAAAAAAGAAAAAACTGTCCTACACATCAACCAACTGCCTTACTGTAACACTAGTGCTCGGGTTTTGAGAAAGGCTCTCATCCAGATAAATCTCACTAAGAATATATATCGACTCGCTCGAACAAGAAACTTTTTTCTTCCGGCACCTTAAATGGCCACTTTTCATGAAAAAAAAAAAAAAAAAAAAAAAAAAAAAAAAAAACTGTCCTACAACCACTGCTACTAACACTAGTGCTGGTTTTGAGAAGCTTCTCCAGTCCAATAAGATTTGACGGCAACAAGAATTTTCTCCGGATTAAATGGTCCACTTTCATGGTCCATAATCTGGCTTGTCCATCTCATCCCATTTGTTATGCTCTGGATCTTCACAAGTACCTCTACTGTGTCCCTGAATATAGCTGTCCCTTCTGGTCTCAGAATCCTATCCATCTCCAGCAGAATGTATGTGATGTCACACCTGGAATATGCAAGACAATCCCAGCTTTAACTTCAAGGTCGCAAAATACAAGATTAAGTGATTCTTCATTTCTAGTTTAATTTACCTGTCCTGATATATACTGAACACTCCGTTAGCATGGATGAGATCGTATGTTCTTGGATATGTTGAGAATGCCTCACACCAATCCTGATACGTCCCAATCAAGCCTCTCTCGAAGATGACACCAAGTGTGTCGTGATCTGAATTGGCAGGTACCACATTCATAACCCACAAAGGATGCTTTATCAGTGCAGCAGCAAATCCACCAAGGTAAGCATTCATGTCCATCACATTCCGATATCGTCCTTGTGTAAGTGGTCTAATAATATGCTTATAACGTGTCACTCTATCCTTCCAAAGTTCATTATCCTCCATGAATTTCTCAGCAGAGATGCCGGGTAATGAACCACTGCGAATTCTGGGAGGAATAGCAAATGCACGCTCTGGCCATTTCTCCAATGCACCACCAGCAACTTCATCTGAGCTGCTTACTTCTGGCAGTGGAGTTATGCAAGCTTCCATGTCTTTGTACCTGTTTTTTTTTTTAAAAAATTATTTGGTATTTTAGGAGCATATATTATTCAAAAGACAATAGGAGTTAAAGTAAATACCATATTTTTCATGCCAAACTAGGATGATAACATTAAGTATTAAGCATAGAGAGAGTACCATGCAGCATCTGGGTTGTCTGACTTGCATATATGTGGTGTTTTGTACATCTTTCTGCTTCTGACACACTCTATGTGATTGACGGGCTTTTGCCAAACTGCAAGATCTTTCTTTTCAACCACTTTCTTCCAGCAAAGGCGCTTGGCTACATCCTCAATAGCGTCCTGTTCCTGTTTTAAATCTTCTTGTTTTCTTTCCCAACCTCTCCAATATTTTTTCCAACGAATAGGAGGGCCCGAGAGAATCCAATAGCCACCAGGCCTTAGAACCCTGTCAACTTCAATTAGATACAGACCATCTGTAACATGCAAAGAAAGAGAGCTCCATTTTCAACTAAATCAAATCATATATTATATAATTATCACAAGAATATGAAGGCAAGTTACATGAATACCATACCATACTGATGCCAAGGTATCAAGCAACGGGAACAGTGAGCCATATCAAAAGCCCTGGCCGGGTAAGGAAGCCTTTGTGAAGCCATAATGCCAATCATAGCAGGAACTCCCCTCTCTAATGCAAACTGGACTTGTGCTTCATGTGTATCCCGTGGTGCAAAAGACATCGCCAAGATCTCCCTCTTCAACAGGTAGGCACCCCAACTTGCAACCTTCAATTGCATACTGTAAGTCTGTTTGGGATTCTAAATGTAAATGCTATACTAAATTCTTAAGGATATATATACATATATACATATACTTACACCACAGCCTGTATCAATAGCAGTTCTGATGGTTCCGCCAGTAAGAGGAATGAGCTCATTTATGTCATCAATGTAAGCATCAGCTCCGCGTGGGAACATGGTGCCTCCCCCAGGGAATCTGAAGCGGTCACCCTCTAATTGGATCCAGTTCTGCACAGCCTTCTCAATGCTAAGCTCTCTATGGGGGATGTTGTCATACCAGGCATAGTCCCGGCTTTGAGGCCATTTGAAAGGGGTCTTATATTTTGGAGGAGCTGGTATGAGGCAAAACAGCAGTTCTTCTTTTGTTGGGCAATGTCTCTCTCTGTATTTCAACATGTTCCTATCAAATTTTCTTCCTCTCTGTGGATGTTGGCAAGGAGTGTACTCACTGAAGGACATATCGCATGATGGAAAATTGGCAACAGTGTCGGTATTGTTGATCTCAATCTGATGATGGCTATCGAAGTCTAAGAGTATAGATGATGGATTGGAGTTGGCCGCTGCAGGAGGTGCAACATCACAACCAACTCTATTGAACACCTCAGATCGATTGGTGGGAGGAGATGTATTCTGCCAAGCTCCCAAAACGTAGAACAATATGCAAAGGCCACTGACCCCCAATATCCATGTTAGCCGCTTCCTCTTTGATTCTAGCTGATGATGTTTGGGTGATCCACTGTACTCCTTTGCCATTAGTATCTGTAACCCAGCCCCTGCTGCAAAAATATCTCCACATTCAAATTAAATAAATAATAATTCATCCATATTTCATTTCTGCAAAGCTATCAACATGATAAACTAAAACAAGAAATTCGAGTCCCCTCTTTTTTATTTCTTCCTTTCTCTCTTTCTTTCGTTTCTAAAGAACAATTTGACTTGAAAATGGTGATTTCACAAACAGAGCAAGCTACCATAAATCCCGTCCGTCCAAATTCCCGTCATAAACTGAACTACTTAAAGATGGATAGTAAGTGTAAAACAAAAGCTAAATATTATCACGATCAGAAAAAAAAAAAGAAAAGGAAAGAAAAGAAAAACCAGTTTTAAATCTGCACATGACAAAACGCAGCAGAGGATCCCAATAAACAAGCTCAACTATACAATACATAAGCACTCACCGAAATGAGACATAATTTCTTCAAACAAATTACTAGAGGATTTGCTGTTACCTCTTTTTAACAACAGCCAAGAAAGAGAAAAAGAGCTTTTTTTTTTTCAAGAAAACATCCTTATAATCTTTCTTTAAATGTTACAGTGTATTTCCTTTTAAGTCAACAATACGCTTCCCCTGTCCAGAGGAAACGATAGCTTTCCAGAATTACAGCAATCCAACATTGGTTTAAACATAATAATTTTTCGAAAGGAGGAGAAAAGGGGGAAACGAAAAGGAAAAAGAAGGGCGTACCTGAGGAAGGTGACTATGAGCCAAGAGCCCACGACCCACTCACTCTGCAGTACTCTGCAAGTACAATGATCAAACACAAAGCAAACAACTAAGGATGGCACTTTGCTATTTGCATTATTTCATTAATAAAAAAAGAAAAACACAGAGGAAACGTAGATAAAGGCAAATAGAAAGAAGGGGCAAATAGAAAGAAGGTTAAGGATATAATAGTTTGTAATATGAAAAAGGAACGTTAAGGGTCTCCACCATGACAGGAAGAGGAGAGTGGCGACTGAGAGTTGCTTTTTTATTTAAAAAAATAATAATAATAATAATAAAATAAAGAGGAGGAGAGCGTGTGGTTGAATGGGTAGTGTCATCTACAAGAATTTCTCTGTCTAATTCCAAAATGGGAGGGGGGGAGAGGAAGGTGAGTGGATTGGTTTGGTCTTAAAGACGACAATGTTGTGGCAGCTTCTGAGCATTCACAGGAGACTGACCAGCCTCATTTCACTCTCCGCCATTTCCTCTTTCTGACTCTCTCACATTCTCTCTCTATTTGTATTTTGCTTTTTTTTTTTTTTTTTTTGGGCCCTCATTTCACTTCTCCGCCATTTCTCTATTCTGACTCTCTCACATTCTCTCTTCTATTTGTTTATTTTTTGCTTTTTTTTTTTTTTTTTTGGCCCTTATCTTTTTTATTCATCCATATCATACATTTTTTTTTTTTTTTTTTTGGCCCTTATTCTTTTTATTCATCCATATCTACATAGTTAGATACAGACAGATTCAAGTGTTAGAAATTTAGGCTTTTTGCGTTGCTTTTCTTATTTTTTTTCCCCTTCTTTTTCATTAGTTGACTGCTTTTAGCATTTCTATTCCAGCATAATAATGACAATTACATAAAGCCCATCCCCACTCTCAATAAGCTCCTGTTATGTTGTGTGCAACTTCATCCTGCTACTCTGATAACGACTCAAGTCTCAGCTAGCCATTGCGTTCATGTCCATGAATCCACTACACTACTTTCGTTAATTCTCCATGTTAATTGTGTCGCTATATTTTTCGGACAATAAACTTGTTTCAGGTTAATTGAAAGAGAGGCCTTGAACTGATGTTCTGAGCCACGCTGAAATACTGTTCCTTTTGCAACGAACGACTACTACTATTGGACTAGAAAGCCAATAATTGCATGATTTCCTCTAGATATAAGACGCAAAAAGTTCCCTCCTACTACGGTATAAACAAATGTTATTATTACTATTATTATTCTTAAATCGAAGTAGCTAATTATAAACACGTTGTGATCTTTATCCGTCAGTGTAGGAGTAGCGAAAATGCATTAGGATTGACCATGCTCCCTAGCACAACTTCAGAAAGATAATATTACAATAAATTAGTCATAATCTAGTGCGAGACCTCGAGAGAGAGTGCTTAACAGTAAAACACTGTCGAAAGAGGCAAAAAGGTATATGTAAGCATGCGAATGGAATTAGCAAGTTCATATAAGGGAAAGTAAAGAAGGGCATAGAAATTAGCAACTTTATATAAGAGGGAAAAAAAAGATGGGTAAAGCAAACAATGCTTGACCTAATGGCATAAAATGATGCAGACCATTCGGTTCCCGATTCAAACACCCTCCTGTTAACTTTTTTTTGCCTCAGATAGGCTGGGCTTTTCGTAAATGGATCCAAATGAAATATATCGTATATATGCACGTGGAAGCCTATCTTAGGACCCAAAAAATAAAAAAATAATAAAAAAATAAAAAAAGAATAAAGGGTAAACCACATGCTCCTACTCCAATGGAGAGAAACGGGTAGGCAAATGAAGAGGAAAATAGATTTTCCAAGAAAGCGACGGTAGTTGGTTAAAGAGGAAAATAGATTTTCCAAGAAAGCGATGGAAGTTGGTGGACGACGCACTCGTCTTTACTCAAAATGATTTGCACTTTGTCATGTTTCTCCTCAATAATTGTCAGCACGCATCCCTAATGAGTAAATTATGTCAGTTATTATTTGTCTAACCTGGTATCCTATGACCATGAGCTTAGGTTTGCAGTTGTACAGTAGCCTCCGCTCTCAACTTGCACTTTCAAAACCGCGAATGATAAATCCACTTTCATCTTAAAAAACAAACAGTGTATTTCACTTAAAAAACAAACGTTGTATATATTATATATTATTATATAGTATATAATATATATATATATATATATATAATATATATATATATAATATATATTATATATATATATATTTCTAATTTAAGTACCATTGTCCACTTAGCTACAAAGACCATTGTACACGTACCACATTCCTACTCTGGCTTCAAAGGATGTAATCCTATCAAGAAACCCAGTAGAGAGGAAAGAAAAAAAAACAAAAAAGCATTTCATTCCGTTAGCAAGGAGCTTTTTCTTTAAAGATTCCTTCGTTCAGATAAAAAAAAAAAAAAAAAAGCATCATTCCGTAGCAAGGAGCTTTTCTTTAAAGATTCCTTCGTCAAGATGGCAACTTCTCATTCCCAAATGTATTAATGGTTGAGTATGAGTATCTCCTAACTGTCGTTGAGAACGCGCAAGCCCACCATTTCTTGCATTACAAATGTCTATACATGACCAAGCAGATGCATAGAACCTGTTTCACGGGAGGACAAGACTACCTTCAAGGATTGCCTTTCTTCATGCACGCATGATGAGTTTGAGAGCAAAAATTACCCCACCTGAAAAATGGGGTCAAGTAATCCAATCCAACAATGTGAACTGTGAAGTATTCATAAACCAACTGCACAAAATAATATCGTTCACGGTATGCTGTTGTATAACTTCTCAAATTTCTCTGCAATTGCATGGTGATTGTTCCTCTCAAACACTTCAATGAGTGAACGTATTGCCATGGCTATCACCTGTTTCTTTTGGTTTCCACTGGAATTTCCAGCCTCTGTCCCACTACTTGTCTCTCCTAGACTGGAGCATACAACCTTCAACCACTCCTCTAAAAACGGCGCTTTCTGCATGACACAGATGGCTGTAAAACTTCCAGACAAGTCTATTGCTGAATTAACATAAATGCAGAGCATATCATGCAAATGCCGTAAAGCAAGGTAATCATTGCTCACCCACTGGATCATTTAGAAAGTACTTCGAAAAGAAATATATATGGCAAGTCCTTTTTTTTCTTTTACACACAAAAAAGTAAAAAATAAAAAATAAAAAGAAGAAAAGAAAAGAACAAAGAGCAAACATTAAGCCATTGTTTGGATGAAGGGTTTTTTGAGGGTAGGATATGGTAAGGGAATGTAAAGTTGAATTTTTGAGTTATTTGGTAGGGTTATTTCAAAAGAAGGGTTTTTTTAGGTTAGCTGGACTCAAAACCTCCCATTTTCCAACCCACCGATTTGGAGAAAGGGTTTCAATTTTTAATTACAGGTCATATAATTATTTAAAAATTCCAAATTGCCCCATTCATATATCTTATTTTTTAAAATTTTGTTCTTTCCTCTTCTTCTCCTTTTTCACTAAAATATCTTTAAGCAACTTAAATATCCATAACTTAATATGTTATCGAAAAAATAATTTCTCAATTTAAATATTTAAAATAACAATCTTTTGAAACGGATATTTTTGTAATTAATTTAATCTTACCTTCCAATACCATCAAACCAAACAAGTAACAACACAAGCTTATTAAAATTTCCTTCACTTTATCTTCCTCCCAAACATAAAAAAGGTCATTAATTTACCTTACCACACCTTATCAATACCTTATTAAACTTCCCTTTGCTCCATCCAAACAAAGTGTAAGGAAAAGAACATATGCATGCTCTTCCTCATTTTCCAATGCAACTCACTGGTCTATATACATAGAAGCCAGAAATTTACTACCATTTGTGATAGATCTAAAATAGTTTACATAATGTACTTAAAACTATACTTCTCTTCCCTTCTTCCCCTCCCCTTTCCACTTCTCATTTTCTCCTCACTTCCATTATCACTCAAAAAGTTTGAACAAAGCATCCATGTGTGGAAAACACAATTTCGGTTTCTCATCAAGGAAAATTTTCACTGCTATTTCCAACAGTAATAGCAAATGGGAAAGGCTTACCTTGACAAGAAAATCTTTCAAAGGTTGCTGATCACTGCCAGAAGCAAGGCTAAGAATATGCAATGTGGTTGACGTTATCTGCAACAGATAAAGACACAGAAGTACAGGTCAAATGATGTAGCCAAGCCTTGATCTCACAAGAAAGGACACATCAGGATCATGCATCAGAGTCTTTCCATCATCAATTTGATGCGCTGAATACAGAGAACTTGAAAGGTTTTTCCCACCAAAAAAACAAAAAATTGCAGTTTTGGCAAAAAAAACCCGCATTGCAGACAGTATGATTCAGCGTATGCTATCAGAAGAAAAGGCCCAGGAGCTTCACCTGCTTTTCAAGTGCAATCCTGTATTTGAAACTTGATGGCACTGATATCTGGTCAGAACCTAGAATTTGAATTATATGCTCGAGACCTTGGACAATATCCGAGAAGGATTTACCATATTCTGCATTAATAAAAAGGATAAGTAAACTAATAATAAATTTGGCATCTTTCATAAGAAATACACTGAGAAAATAACCACTACAGCCAGTACGTTGAGAAGTTCTATTAACAGGGAAAGTTCACAAAGGGATATTGTTCTGTGATTTAGTTAGACAAAGCATCATTCATCTTGATAGTGACAACTATAATAGGTGCCTGCTACTCACGATGTACAGAGGTTGGCACAGCCAAAGCAGCAGCAGCTTGTATTCTGATCTTAAAGTTTGAAGAATCACGTAGTAATAGTAGTAGAATGCTAAAAACAGAAGAAGCCCTGCCAAAAAAATATATGCACATCATCATAGCTCTAACATGTACTTCATTTCAATTGAAATATGCAAATCCAGGAGTTTAGAAGTAAACTGTGAAAGGAGAGCTATCGTTCAGTAACACCTTACCAATCCATATCTTGCAGTCTTAATGTCTCGTTTAAAAATAGGTGGCTCAGCGCATGACAAACATTCCACTGGACCTGTTAACATATATTAAAGCTTTAGTAGAGACCATGATGGAACTGACTACTTAGATTCACAAATGTCAGAGCATATTTCATCAAAGCCCAATTAAACTAGTCTCCAAAAAATTGAGTGATGGTCAGACGATACCTTGACATTCCCAGTCGTAACACAAGAAAGGAATGCTTGAACCACTTTCTCCAACAAATGATCTGATGAAGTTCGATGAGAATAATTTAAAGTGTATCCTTTAACATATTGCATTTTACTGCTTGTGGGCAACAGTAAACTTGTTTGATAAGTCCAGAGAATAAATAGGCTTACCATGCATGCCAGAAGTGCATCTAACAATTCTTGATAGATTTCCTAGAGCCCTCACAGCATTTGATTTGATCTGATTGTAAGAAAAAGTGGACCCTCGCTGAGGATTTGAAATTAAGTACAAAACTATCTATCTATGAAAAGTCAGAAAAGGCTTTCAACCCTTGAATGCTAGAAAATAAATGAACCACATAACTAAAAACCATTTGAAACTTCAAAAATTTACTATAAATGGAATCTGAGTGAATGTGTCAGTATCTTTATAGAACAGCAAATATCATAAAAAGACTCTTCTATGTCAGGAAAATGAAAAATACAATGGAAAGGAAGATTCTATGACCAAAAGGAAAAGAAAATTAGTAAACATAATTTTACCTCAATCGTTTGGATGTCTAATTAGAAGTGAGAGGAAATTGAACATTTTTACTGTTATAACCATATTAAATGGCTTTTTGTTTATTGATATATAAAGAGTATCTAATATGAAAGGATATATATATTGACATAAATACAGAATCATGCATGTAACAACCCAATGGTCTGTTACCAAGCATGAACAGTGAGAATATTTAAGTCCCAGATTCCAAACAATTAAATTTCTACCTTCATATGTGAAAGTAAAAGATTTAACATGAGAAAACAGATAGAAATGATCTTGTTAATCAACACATTTACCTTGTCACCATCTTTTGTTAGCCGCAAAGCACTCTCCGCTAACAGTTCCATCAATTGAGAGTTTGCAACTGAGTCTATAATAGAAGAGGGAAAAAAACTATTAATTGAAAATCAAATCAATGATAATTTTGCCATACAGTAAATTCTTGTGCCCTAAAGCACACCTGCAGACTTTTCTAAACGAAAATCATTGATGCAGTAACGCAGAGAATCGCAAATGTTTGCCAAAGCCCATGAGGCTGTTATTCGCACCTGTAATAAGTGAAGCATTCAGCAGATAATCTTATACATTTAGGACATATGGATATCGGAAGATTAACCGGGAAGCAAAGGGCATGATAAAATACCGAAACCAAAGGATCATGAGTATTGATTTCAATAGCATGGATAAACCTGGAAAGAATCTCTGCACTAAACGATTTAAGTTCATAAGATTTCTAACTGCAATCTTACGCAAAAAGACTAGCAAAAGATAACAAGGATTTATGAAGAACATTGAACAACATTCCAAAGTCACCTGTGAGAAACTTGTGGAAAACAAGAGATTACACCGATAGCTCGACAACTAGCTGACCTAACTGAAGGAACCTTATCATCTAGAGCAGCAGTGACCTAAAAAGATTTTTGAAGGGGTAATGCATATTCTTGAATAAAAATAAAAGAGAGATTTTGTACCATCAATAAAGAGCAAATATCGTTGCTACTATAAGTTACAAAGATACTTACCAAAGAAGAAACAATAAACTCTTGTTTCTCCTTTGAGAGGGAGAAGAATACAGAAGATGTGATGCCAGCAAAACAAGTCAATGATGCAGTTCTCACCTTCCAATGGCAAAAAATAAACGAAATAAATTAAATATAGTGCAGCTATATAAAGGTGAGAAAGACATATCAATCTGAATATCATAAATTTTTGCACTTAATATGTTTATCATGATACAATGATATCTATATTTCAAAAGTGATTTCTCTTTGAAGAGCTGACATGCTCATGTACAAGGTCCCTCATTCTCCACACATCTAACGAAAAAAGTAGTGACACAAAAATTTCCAGCATAAATAAATATTGAGAATAAATATTTCTTCCAGATGAAACATATCTTGGACCTCAAGTGGTTGAAGATAAAAAAATATATCCAACTAACCATAGAAGAAATGTGCCATAGTATCAGAGGCATGTGATTCTCTATCATCTTAGACCAATGCTCACTTCCTGACTCAAATGCTTTTGATTCATTGGTATCTTGTATGCTCTCTGGTTCATATGACGGAGCAGATGATACCTTCTTCATCCTTATGCAATCGGAGGTAAAAGGAGTATCCAATGATTTATCATCAAAAAGGTCTTCAGTCCCTTTGAATCCAGAAATAGCACGAAGACACTCATCTAAGACCTTCAAATGGGGAAAAAAGAGTAAAGATCTTCTATATCAAGAAGCATTGCAAGCAGGCATCACATCAATTGACTAGCAGTTTATTTTCTTTTAGAAAGAAAAGAAATACAGTAGTCTTTTTCCCAAGAAAATATAATTTTATATAAATATAAGCACGAGTGGAGCATGTTCATCAGCCTATGGGTAGACCTCGCCACTGGTTTGGACTGGAATTGTACCACGAAAAGCCTGGACTAGCATCAGCCTGAGAACATGGTCGGGAACTGGACCAAACCTGGAAGAGATCCGTTCAGATTCGATCGCTCCCCCCAAAGGTTTTGGACTGGAGCTGGCCCAAAACCGCTAGTTGGACCACCAGTTCCATAAAAATGACATAAGGTAGGAAAAAAAGAAGGGCTGAACTAGAATCAGACCAAAACCAGCGGACCTTTGCTGTGCCCAGAACTGGCTAAACCAGAACGACGAACATTACCAGAATGTGAACCTTAGGGACCAGTTGCGGACCTGGTTCAAAGCCAGGAGGCCCAGAACCATCCAGGCTTACCTACGGGTAAGCATAGTATGCAGTATGCACCCGTGATCAAAGTTACAATAATGTTTGATAATAACTAGAAATATCCATTCTAGTTCAAGTATAAAGAATGTATTGAAATATAGGTGTTATGGAAAGGATACCTACCTTGATTGATGCTGTTATAACTTTTTCCCCGGCAAACCCAAAATTTTCCCCCATATGTCCCCTCCATGCACTAGCAGAAACTTCTGGAATTGCAACCCTCAAAATTTTGGAAGATATAGTGGAAACTTGTTCCCAACATGTAACTGCCATGTATGGGTAATTGTGTATCAGAGCTCTAAGGGCCTGCAAAAATTATTTATAATGTAATTGAAGAAGAATTATAGAAGATTAGTAAAAAAAATATAGGATATCATTCTTTAGGATTATCAGCCTGAATTTCTTAAATAAGAATACTTGGTATTAGTTAGGATATTGAAAAGATATTTCATATCATAAAGATTAGGACAATGACAGTAGGTTTTAGTTTATCCATTTCCCACTTTGTGGTTTGCCTGGTGCCTATAAGAAGAGAACCCTATTGGGACAGTCTGGGATGAATTGACTCAAGAGTTAACTCGTATCAAGTTTTCTCTTCCATATCATTGCATACTCTCTTCTCTAAAAGTCCATTATATTTGTATTAAAACTCTGTTCTTTCAGTCTTGTTGCTTCTTGTTTTGGTTCTTTACAGTTCACAGACTCTAATTTGTTCAACATCAGTAGCTCTACTTAAACTCCAGCACAAAACTAACATAAGACTAAAAATACATATTGAAGATCCATTCTTGTGATTATCCATTCGGTTGGTTTTATGTAGATCAACCACTAGGCAATGTGCCTGCAAAATTATAACCAAATCTTGGCACATGGAGATGGCACCCAATCTTACAGGAGTATTGGCCAAGTCATGCTGACACATCAAGAAGCATGAGCATAGCAAGCATTAATACAACAACAACAAAAACAACTAAGCCTTCCTCCAAACTCCCAAACTATTTGGAGTCAGCTATATAAATCCTTTGTATCAATATTTCTCTGTTCAGATTAAAAGCAAAAAATACACAAACAAGGTTCTAACTCCTTTCTGCAAATACGGGAGCATATTATGATACTCATTTTCTGTCTCACAGTCACAGATTACCCTTTCTCTTCCTCAACTAACAGATTACAAAGCAAAATTGATCAAACATATTTGTCCACTAACTGTCTAAAAATGGTTGGGGGAAAAAACAAAACCATATATTCACTGACAGATACAGAAATAAAAGTGCACACCAACAGGGAAATCACAAGCAGTTACAAATATTCAAAATTCAAGGCAAGTTCAAGTGCTCAATGCTCACCAAGACCATTAATCACTACTACTAAAAAGTCTGATATAGTTCAGTAGCATGTATCTAATGCATCTACTTTTATTACAATATTACCTGAAGAGCTTCAACCGATATTGCGGAGTTTGTTAGGTGCTCAGAATATCGAAATAATGTGGAGAGAACATGTAACTTCTTTTCAGCGACAACACCACCTGGAGAAGGCTTCAAAGGGATTCAAAGGTCAAATCAGATAAACTCACTCACAAGTACTAAAATTAAACAATAAAATTCTCCAAAAAACTAGTGGGAAAAGGAATAAACTGCAATTACCTTGCATGGGAATAGTGTAACAATTTATTATTTCAAGTATTTTAATAACTTGAATACAACTAAAGTGGCTGCAATTTTTATATTTTTAATAATTTGCAATTGAACAACATAGATATAGCATTGCACACTCAATTTTAAGGACTATGGCACACATCTTCCAGTGCTTAACAATAACAAGCAAAGTAATGACAGGCACGATTCTCAAGTACATGCCAAAACAGAAGGCAAACACACATACTGCAGTGGAAAACAATAAGGAACATATAATAGCGAAACTTTTCAAGTGTACTATAGCAAACTAACCTGTTGACAGCTCTTGTAGCAGCAGTTGTTTGACATGTGGTGATGGAGGTGAGGTAGATAGAGCTGCTGTCAAGCAATTAATGGTAGCAGCCTGCAGAAAGATGTTAAAATATGTTATAGGCATCACAGTTAAAGTAAGATCCTGCTATTGATACCTTTAGTACTACTCCCAAATCCCACCTACTTCCAAATCACCCCCCACCCCACCAAAAGAAGTGCAAAAAAAAAGAGCCCCCCCCCCCCCCCCCACCCCACCAAAAGAAGTGCAAAAAAAAGAGGGAAAGGGGAAAGGAAATTTTTTTGGTTGGTGTAGAGAGGGGAATAATTTTTGTGTATCACATATCAGAAAACTAACCAGCAAACCAGTCTGATCACTTTTGAAAGGGAACCCATTTTCAGTCCTTGATAACAGAGATGTTATAATTTCCGGTAACAATTCTCCGGGCATTCTTGAATATCTGTTGAATGATCACACCATAAGAAACAACAGTAATATAAGGACAAACACATAGCTTCCCAAGAGGAAGAATGCCAGAAAAGCATGGGTATGTAGAATAATAAACCCATCATTTCTTTTTGCTGTACATGAGCATAGCATGAATACGGTCTTAAGATCCTGCAAATGGACCCGCAATGAATCAACCCACCAAGTAACAGATCTTAATAACTGGCTAGTTGGGTTACTTATATTGCTACAGTTATTGCCATCAGCATGGCACCATAACACCAATGATACTAAGTAAAAATCATAATTTAAGACATCATATCATGACTACCAAGAGAGACCATATTTATCAATTTATGGTTTAAAGACAAAATACACTGACAATGACCACTATCCATTAGTGCAACTTACAAAATTGAAAATACAGAATCAAGGACCTTTTTCCGAGCAAAAAAAACATCCGTGTGTATAAGGACTAAAGAAGATAGATTTAACTCAGACAAAAACCAGCATGTAACAATATATCAGGTCCATTGAATAATTACGACAGAGATGAGCATCAGGGTTAATTAGACAGTTCAGTGGAGTTAACTGACAACAATAAACGCCATGTCAATGCAAAGTGGAGTGTCAACATATAGTACATAATAAATCAGATAGGAAACTCAATTTCTAAAAACCGTGAGGTAACTTTGTGGGGAAGTAATCATACGGTGTAGACGATATCAAAAGCTTAAGAATCTTGAACAGAGATTGCAGCAATCTACTGGAACTTTCATGCTGGATCAAGAACAGGATGCCTACAGAATAAGACATGAAGCATATGTAATACACCAAACAAGAAACATTATAAAAATCTCATAAAAGCGGTAAAATTTGCATCAAGATAACTAAAATGCATTGCAGAATTGCTTTCAAATACCACTATACCAGTATGAAGTTGCATCAGTATTCGGCCAAGGGAACTTGAAAGTGCCATGAAAGATCCCCATCTAGAAGATTCCTTGTACTCTGCTACCTGCAGAAAAACAGATGAAGGGCCATCTAGCATAACTGCGAGAGCTGAGGCAGATGCGATCCGTGCCTAGACACCACAATGCAATTAAAATAAATCAAAGCATCAATAGAAATTACAACATAGTTGTCATATCTTAAAATTAAAACCGAAACAAGTGCGAATATATTTTGATCTTCAAATCATAACTGCCCAAAGAAAAGATTAGCTATTGACATTCAATTAGGTTGGATGAAAGGAAGAGGTTGAAATGCAAATTTTGGAGAGGAAGGAGCCTATTTATTTCCCTTCCAAATGTTTAGTTCTGACAGAGAGAAATGGAGAAATCAAATTTTCATTGATTGTTTTTGTTAAGCATAGAAGGAAAGAAACAGCATGACATGCAGAATAGCAAGTACAATTGTAGTGTTTTTCTACTGGAAATATTTGGTGTAAATTTATTAACTAAAATTAAAAGGAAAGGCAATACAGCGGCTTCCCCTCCCTCCCAATTCCATCCAATTTGGGCATATGGAAATCTCATGGGCAAGAATGGAAGCCTAAGCCTTATCTTTTACTTATCCTCCCTGATTTGCATTCAAACAGGAAAGAAGCATTCTTTCTTACTCTTCCTTAGAGACAAAGAAACTAAAAATGTATTACAAAAAAATAATACAAAATCAGTACCTTTAGATGAGGATCAAATAGCAAGCACGTCATTAGAGTGGCATCGAACTTTCTGCAAATAAGAAAGTGAAATAAGATAAGAGGAAGAACAAAAGAAGTTCATGTAGAAAAATAAAAGGGAAAAAAAAATAGAGCATCCATGAACATATAGATCCAGTAAGAACTTGACAAGGCTATACCTCTGTTGCAGAACATCATTTGTTGGTAAAAGCATTGTCCACTGGGTAGTAAATGACTTGGGATCAGCTTGGCAAAGATCCTTACCCACAGAATGAAAAGGTCAAGATTAGAAGAGGTAAAGGTTACATAGTTTTTGTTAACAGATACTAAGATTTGACAAGACGTGTATCTCTATAAATCCAATTGGGACAATATAACTAACATGGACAACCTCCTGAACAAGTCACATCAGAATCAGGTAAAGTATATGAAGATGCAGATTTGAAGTATATTACTCAAAAAAGAAGGGAGAATTTATTTGAAGAGCTTAATGCAGTCAAGGTTAGAATGTCGAAGGCATTTCATTAAAGAAGCAAAAACTCTTAACAGAACAAGAATAACTTGAAAATTGTTAAAATTGGTACCTGTATACAAAAAATCGCAGCAACTCTAACTTTAGAGCTTCGAATACTATCAATCTCTTTTCCTGATCCATCACTGTCACTGTAATCTGAATCTGATGATGTAAAATCAGCAGTAGAAGATTCATGATCAGGCAAACAATAAGAATCCATGGCTTTCGGCTGCTTCATAATCATGCTATCCTTTTTGCGCAAATGTGGAGGCCTATACGGAGCATGATCTTTTCTTGTAGGTTCTTCTAACGTAGCCTTAAGGTGCCTTTCACCAAGTTCTTTCTCCTTCTGACTACTAACGGGAAAAGTAAATTGCCGCCTAGTGGTAAGGCCATAAACAAAGAACAAGCGTAGTGTTGCCACGAAACTAGACACCTTGAAATGGAGAAAATATAAATATATTAAAAAGACCCAGAGAGTCTGAAGATAATGGATATGTATAAATATCAGTAAGCTGATTTTACACCCAAAAAAGACAATAGATTAGCATACATGGTCAAGAAGGGAACCTTTACGATCCATAAGAACCAAGTGTAAACAATTAAGAAGAGACACATAAAACCTGCAGGACAGCATCACTTCCACATTAAGGTTCAAATACTTGTAATACATTCACCAAAGGTAAAGCAATCATATAGATAGTATAGGTGTGGTTTGCATATTATTTTGGGGTCATGAGAGGTGATCATTCCAGTACCTGGACATAACAATGTCTTCAACAAGCAAGCTTCTAGATGTCAAGGCATCCATTAATTTTCTAAGCACCTGATTGCAATTGATGGAAATTAAGGAACCTATTTCTGAGGAAACCATCAAATAATAAAGAGAAAGAAAATATGCATACCTCAATAGTAGATTGCCAAATTTCAGCAGGAAAGTAAGACCCGACCCTTGAGAATGCTTCACCAAGCATCATAAATATAACAGTTTCAACCTCCCACAAACTACAGTACTTAGATAACATCTTTCCAGTTACTGCATCAGACTTTCGGTTGGCACTTGTATAAGATGAGTCAATCAACTGTCCATGAGAGCATTCGACAATGCAGAGAAGGAATTTTACTAATTGAATGTTATCTGACAGAGAAAATTTTTGGCCATGGGCATTGACAAGATGCCTGGGGAAGGTTTTTAAAAGTTAAAAAATAAAAGAGCCAAAACATAAGGTTCAAAAAGCTATGGAAGCCAAAAACTAAGGATAAACAGAAGAAAGCAACATTAAATAGATACGAAGGTTTTATGATTATGGGCACT